TCAGGTTGCGTTTCGGCATTGCTCTCCGTCAAACGAGGAATGCTCGACCCAATGTTGCCCATCTTGGCTGATATCGATAGCATTTGGATTTGAACTGGTTGCACTTTGCGTTTGCCCAGGTAGTCTTTTTGATTTCAAAGACATCCATCTACGGAAATTCGAAGCGGCACCCTTTCACTGTACAATCCGTAGCTCAAATCTTACCAAGGTCAAACAAGCCCTCCGTCCATTCGAGGTCGGTTACATGGTAATAGACTTGTCCGAGTAGATAAAAACGGACTTGAGCATTGATTAAACACTTCGCTGGTTACTTCATAGGCCAGTTGCTCATTAAAGTACTTCAACGATTTTGAATGCCTGGCACAACCTTAACAAAGAGGGAATCCAGAGGTAGTCGGATGTACATTCCACGCTGAGTGTATGGGCGGAGAAGGCCAATCACTTTTCTTCATACTAGCTGACCCGCTTCTAGAGCATAGAAGCCTGAAAGGATCTACAGCGGCTGAAAACCAGCGCTGGTCGTTATGCTCATGTTTATAGTTGACGCTTACATCATACCTGACCCTGGTGGAAAGTGGTTTGAGTGATGCCGATGAATCAATAGCTTGGTTGCTACCATTCACATATCCTGGACCAGAAGACATAGTGCAGGTAATGGAACCTTATTTACTCTTGAGGCACATTCCACGTTGACCGTGTGGGCGGACACAGCTGGACCATTGTGACTTTCTCAATGATGCACTCGTCTCTTCTCAGGAGGTAAAGAGAAGGGACGCGCCAGTGAAAAACACACAATGGTAAGCCTGGTTCCGCCCAAGATCAGTGTGAAGTGTGCCTTTACCTCAATTTCTTTTCTCTCTCAGTTCTTTACGAAATAACACCATGAAATACACGGCTGACATCCAGGGCACATCATCGCAGGGTGGAAAATCCCTACTAAATAAATGCACACCTCCCAATTCTCCTTTGACCTTCTTTCACAGTCAGCCTACCATCTTACAGAAACTTCCCGGAACTTTCCCTGAAATTTCACCTCCGAGCAGGATATGGAGCAGGTTAAAATGGAAAAATTTTCAATCGGAAAAATCTTCCTTCAGTCAAAGTACACCACCTCGGCATTTCCCCCGTCTGGTACGACCTCCTCTTCCCTATCCCCTTACCTACCATCTTCGTGAGCTTTCCAAACTTCCTATCACTTTTCCTTAGCTTTTTTTTTCGGAAATTTCCTCTTTTCGTTGAAAACCTGGTGCTGTGCCGCGGGATATATATAAGTGACTTGACACAGAACCGGCTACCGAAAACTCTTTTCCCAAAAGCAACCACCTATCCCTCAGCTAGCGAATACGACTCCCTTGCTGAAGATCCCAAATGTACGACGTACCCAGAGTATAGCCCGCTCGCAGCGGCCACATGCCACCCCGATGTGACTTCCACAACAGTGATGTGCTCTGTTACCATTTAGTTTATCTCCATTGGTTTTCCAGTATCTGACAGATTGGGCCGAAGAAATATACGCGCAAGGCGAAGGTGACGACGAAGGAGAGGGAGCTGTTGCCACGAAAGCTAAGCCTGGTGTGAGCCATACTGCGAGAGGTGGTGCAAAACCTGGACAAGTACCCAGCGGTGCAGCGATCGCAGCAGCCTTAGGACAACTGCAAAGAAGGTGAATCGAGGTGGGTGGTCAATAGTCTTGTTCGCTGCGGATGGTGACGCGTATCAGAGGTTGGGTTTGGCGCGGCGCCAGCCCCCTTCTCATCGCGTAACGGAGCCATAAGCAGCAACGATCGATGCAGATAAGGCGGGCGCCGCGCCAGAACCAATGCGACACGCCCCGATTGATTTCAGTGATAACAACTGGACATCGGCGTTAAATGGTTCGATTTGCAGACCTGTAATGTTATTGTGATGAATGATGAAGAATTCGTATTGGAAGCGAAAATTTGTACAATTTCAGTATATGTATTTTTAATATAATTAATAAAGTTGTTGATTTTTTTGTAAGACGCTAAATCAACTTTTATGGAATCATCTCGACTTCAACAACGTTGAACATGGCAAGAATGGACTTCATAGAGTGAAATATTTAAAACCTAGCGACAATACCGACCAAAATAGAATTGACCTGCAATAGACTTCAATTGCAACACCGGTTGTGTCCCGTGTAACATTTCTTGACGCAACAAAATTGCATGGCGTCGTTTAGATGGGCGTGGCTACTGGGCGCGGCGCTCGATGGGGCGTGGTCGCTAGATGCGTAGCGGTCGCGCACCGCATTACGCCTGATTATGATATTGAAGCAATCGCAGCGTGACCGCAACACAATCATTGGAGTCTCCTATTTGGAATAACAGAACCAGTGCACGTCCAGATGCTGGCAGACACTTTCGAAGCAGGATCCCCCCAGTCCACCGAGCAAATAGAGGTCTTCTCCTCCGATCAACCAGTGGAAACTCCCTGTGCTGCAAACTCGTAAAAAACGACGAGCCCTTACCACAACTGGTATTGCCATTGAAATCGGTCACAGAATTCTCGAAAACAACCGGTTAAAAAAATCACATACTAGTTAACCTGTCTTCAGACAGCGTCCTGAGAAAATAAAAACCTACATAATTTCTGATCGCAATGCTTCAAATGCGCATTGGCCGACAGCAAGCGACATCGCCGATGACATACAATGGCGCCATTTGAGCGAGGAACTGGCGAATCTAACCCTAACGAGGACGCTGTCTGAGACTCCTCAGTATCTATTTGAGCATTAAGTGTTGATCGTCACAATAGAAACTATACATTGGGCACAACAAATAGAAATATAATGGAATGCAGGAACTGGGCTTTAGGGTCCTAATCGTGTCCCTCGTCCTCCTTTTTGAACTCCTGGTAGTCCTTTTCAGAGAGCAGGTCTGCTAGCTCACTTGTGTTCGACAGCTTCAGTTTGTACAGCCATCCTGAACATACAAGTAGGCGATCACATGGCCATCAAAGGAAGAGGATCGAGTACGACTTTAAGCGAGATCGATTTCGCATAGTCATTCCTCTTTGCTTGGTTATGCCTCCCCCCTGAACGTGTTGAATTCCCTGAACGCCAAGGTGATTAGAGAGACCGCTTATTTTCTGCCTCTCCATCCATGCCAACCAAACCTGTGGACGTTGCCCGATCTGGCTGCCGACAACCTTCGGCTTTCGTGTTTGGGTTGGATGGGGCACATACAAATGCGCTTACCCTAATCAAGCTTGAGCTGAAAATGCAGATGGTCAGAGTCGCCTCGGGCTACCTTCGCGGAGCAGACAGTCTCCATGCGACTCTAACGGGGGAGCCTTGGTTAGGGAGAGCGACACAACGGTGCTGTAGAGTGTCCCCCTCCCTCCGAACATGTTTTCGGCACGGCAATATTCGACTAATTTGGGCGATGAAAACAAAATATTGTTTTTCCACGCATACAATCAATGGATCAGCTACTCTTTACGCAAGAATGTGCTTTGATGGCCCTCTCACCCCAAGGCCTCCTATAGGGCCAAACTTATAATCAATGCTTAATTCCGGAATACGTAAGGACACTGTTACACATTCCCCCTCCCGTTTCGTACATTGATCATATTCCCTTAGTTGACACAGCCACTACCACAGTCAGCCCACGTACTGGAGGAGTAAATTAGAGAGAAGCTTCTCAAAAAAATCTCACCATCTCCGAACGGACTCTTATTTATTTTTCCTGGCTCTTGCTCGAGAACTTCGTTCTTTTCTGTCACCGTACCAGACACGGGTGCGTAGATGTCGGACGCAGCCTAGAAAAACTTAAACTAAAAACTTTAACATTTGTTAGCACAATTTGACCCTAGTGGGAATTATGCGCGACCGCTGCGATATAGCTTCAAACGCCTGAAGGCACGCTTCACAATAGGCGTATGGGCGCAGCCAGACCTACCATCATCACTGGTGCACCCCTCTTTCTCCATGCGATGAAGCGGAAGTGCGCACCTATGAAGAAGACACAATGGTAGGCCGGACTCCGCCCATATACCCAAGATGGACTGTGTTTTTAGAACCAATGAAATTATACAGGTGGACAGACGGCAAGTAGACAAAGAGAAGACCTTGACACTTTCCACTGCACCAGTTGACTCTCCTTTTACGATTGTGGCATCTTTCTCCGGGAGTTCAACGAAAACAATGTCGCCAAGTTGTTCCTGCAAATCAACTACTACATAAAGAAGCCCATTTTCACAACATTATTGAACTTGACTGCTGCTTAAAAGTCGACAGCCTACACCAAAGACACAGAGCACATTTATAATACTACATGAGCGGCGACAATCAACCTCATGGTTAGTGCCTTAGCCGTTGGTAAGTCCTTTTTTTTGAACAGTAGGGTAGAGCCGTGAACAAGGAAGGTACAAAGGGTGGGTGTATGCCCACCCTCTGTTTCCGTGGAGTGAGCCTATGAACTCGCTTCATCGAAGTATGCAGCGGTAATTGTGGCAGGCCGTGGAGAAGTCAGCACCGATTAACGACAAAATTTTACCCGTTTCTTCGGAAAAAAAAACTGGTGTCAAGCGCCGTAGAGAGCACGCGCAAAACGGAAAAAACAACCGCCCAAAAAATTCCCCTCTCAGCCGATAACAGCAAAGAAAAGAGCTCAGTGCTTGGAAAAAAACTTACTGCTGCGAAATCCGTGATCCCAACAGTGCCCATCTCTCCATCCACTGAGACCCATTCGTGCTTCTTAGTGTACTTGCGTTCTGAAAATAATCTCAATAGATTAGCACTGCAGAGGTCTCTTAACGCTAAATTCTTCGGGGGTCACCCTAATAAATGAACAACTTCTTGCCTTCCCCATTAGAGACTTTTTTTTTACTTTCTCCTTCCCTCTTTCCTTTTCCAGCACCTGTGAATTCCAGGTTGCTCAATTCACAAAACTTCTCAAAATTCAGAATTAAGGAGGCATTCGAAAACACACTTGGTGGAGTGTGTTGCTGGGGTCGTGCTGAATAGCAGTCGAACCTTCATCGCAGCAGACAAAGCTGGTATAAATTAAACACACATTCCACGTTGGTCGAATGGGCGGAGTCAGTCCAGATTTGCATCTCCTCGTTGGTGCATTCCCTTCCTGAGGTGGTGGAGAGAAAGAACATGTCGATGAGCATAAGGGCGCTTGACTCCGCCC